AATAGAATATCGAGACTCTAATTTAAACGTATATACCAGGTTGGAGTAAAATTATAAGTTTCAAATCAAAAATATCTTATTGATAATTATTTTTGTAATACAGTTATTGTTAATGATATTACTATAATATAGGTAACATTTTCAGTAATATACCAAGTACGAAGAGATTATTAAACAAAATTTTGTCGTAAAACATATTGATATGTTTCTAATAAAAAAAAATTCAAATTTTGCTACTATTTTACTTTCATTGGAGAATATAACTAGTTAATTCCGAAATTATAATATATTAAAATACTACTTTCTAAAATGGAAACTAACATGTTCTCGCAAATTTCTTAATCTATTTTCCAACAAAATATCCTCCTCCACATGTGTAAAATTTCTTTAATATCGAATCAAGCTCTACTTCTAAGAAATTTTCGTGTATTAATACTATTTATTCTTTAATCCATAAGATAACTGCGTTTGCCCTCAAAGGAAGTTAAAATCCGACTGCGTCATGTTAGCATTATTTATCTCAAGTACAATGCAGCTGTTACAATTGTGTCGATTATTGCGTGCAACAGAGGAAATCTCAATGGAAGTCTTGAGTCAAGCGAATAAATTCAATGTTGGAATGGTACTAATCCTGTGAAAATGCACATGAAGCAACGAAACTCGTTCCGTCAAGTATCATGTTGGTAAGAACGTTAGACGTTTATCTCTTATTTGTACGCGTAAGTATACATTTCCACTCGCAAATTGTTCAAAGGATGGAGAAATCCAACTTTGTTACAACTGCACGCACAGATGTTCTCTGAATTGATGACTCTGCTTGTGAATAAAAATCTTACTTACGTATACATGTATTATACAAAATGGAGAATATCTCTACAAATTTTACTCACAGATTGCAACACATATCTAAAGATTTATCTGACTTAAACGCGATTAAATTAAAGTCGTGAGTTATTTTTTGAAAGTTGTAACTACCGATATTAAAACTAAATTACCAATATTAACAAAAGAAAAATCTCCCCCCCCCCCCGCATTTAGAAT